ACGTGCTTCACATAATTAAACGTTAGTTTTCTAATTCAATTAATTAATATTCTGGAATCTTGACATTGATACACTATATATTTTAATAGTTCCGCATTGATAGTTTTACTCGAGTATTGCCAAAGAATTTTTTTTTTTTTTTTTTTTTTTTTTTTTTATCATCGATATAATTTATGTATGTCGATGTGTAGGAATACTTGTGTCACTTAAGGTCGAGCATATTATGAACGAGAAAATAAATCTTTCTATAAAATGCATTACGAGTGAAATCGTTTATTACATTTTTAACCAATTTATTTCACAATTTTCATAATCTTTTTTGCTTTCTTGTTCTTGTTCTTTTTCTATCATAATGCACAAGACTTTTTAAAATTTGTTGATTGTTTGTCTCATTATGTATAAGCAATAATGCCAAGATTATCGATAATTTTTACGCAATGTTAAGAAAAGAATTGAAAACGCTAAAACTATACTTTTCATTGTCAACGTGAAATTGTGATTAGATACATTTGTCATTAAGCCACTTTTACCATCAAGTAATCTTTATTTTCAAAATATGAGTACACGGTATGATGCGTTTTAAGACTTTTTTACGTAACGAAAAGTCACCAATATCTTACATTATACCATAAGTAGTAATCAATAATTATACTAACTTATATTAATATAAATTATGTAAGCAAAGTACATCGAAGTTAGATTGGTAAAGCAAAAGCAAGTATGAAAAAGAAATTTCGAGTGTGTTCTTTTAACTTCGGCAACAGAAATATGGCACAAATCCAAGTTAGTATTTATTTTTAAAAAATATATATCTTAAAAGCCTTTAGATATTGCATTATTATTTGAAAAACTCAACTATTTAAAAAACAGTTTCTATACATTTTTTAAATCTAATTATTTTTCCCACGATATATAATAATTCAACTAAAAAAGGATTTCTCGTTTGAGAAGAAACTGGTTGTGTCATTGTACATTAATGCAGTTCATTTGTTTTTGAAATCTAATTTGAGACTGCACTTGTTTCTCCTCTCTCACTCTCTCTCTCTCTCTCTCTCTCTCACTCACTCTCTAATTCTTTTTTTATACGTTATTAAAATTTTTTTACAAATTTTATTTGGTTTTTGATTATGTTAAATGTTTAACAAAATTTTTAACTAATTGATTGTTAACACATGAAAATTCATCAAATTAATTCATCTCTAACGATAGTTTAATGTAACGTTCGCTTTTATAACAATACCCCAATGTTTATTTAATTTAATTATTTAATCGGATATTTAAAAAGATTTTATAATTCAGAGTATTGCTAATGTATAAATACGTTTTAAAAATGTATTTACATAACAAAAGAAATAATTACCCTACACG